GCTCATGAAGTAAATTCCCGCCGATTCTTTATAATTCGTGCTTGTTTCGCGGTGGATAAATTTTATTTGACGTACAGATAAGGGATTTTTCTGCGACAAAGAATTTACGAAAAGTTGTCACACGTTAAAATTAACCGAGGTGCAAGGCATTGCAATATATTCACATAAAATAATTCTTTAATTCTTAACGCCTCGTTATTGAAAAAAAAAGAAAAGAAATAAAAAAAAAAGAAATATTTTTTCGTTCTCTAATATTTACAACTGAAAGGTCGCGTCTTACGATTTCAAGATAAATGAATGAACAGAAAAAAGAACATTATTCTTTGAAAAATATTTTTATTTTTGTCATGTTAATCTACAAATAAGAATACATAGCGTTACACGAAGATAAATTACTTTCTAGAATATTTTATATAATCCAATGAAAAAAATCTGTTCTTATTATTCAAAAATAATTTTCATTAATAGAAAGCACAAAATATTGGATTAAGAATATCATGTCTCTAAATGTCAGAAGAAGATACATCAAAATAATCATATTGTACTTCTTATGAGATTGTTATAATATTTAAATAAAATTTTAACATTTTTTATATTGAAGACGTAAAAATTCTAACAATAAATTGTATATCGTTATACAATAAAATTGTATATCGTTGTTTATATATGAAACAGTTATTATAAAAAGTAAAGTAAATAGGGAACTTTAGAGCATAACACACATTTAAAAACATTATAATTTCAATTTAATATCTTGTGTGCTTTCCATTAATAAAAATTATTTTTGAATAATAAAAAAGGACACAAGTTTTTCTTCGTTGAATCATATAAAATATAATCTTGCAAGTAATTTATATTCGTTTAATGCTATGTAATCTCATTTGAAGATTAACATGTTATAAATAAAGATATTTTCCAGACAAGAATGTCCTTCTTTCTGTGTACATATTCATTAATATTATAAGAAGTCGCCCAGAAGAAAAACCCAGTAGCGATAAGTGCAGGTTTATACTCAAGATCAATAGAGTACTTATTTAGTTCTACCTTTATCTTTTGCCAAAGGCGAAATCTTCTTTTACTTCCTTCGTGTCGTCGTAGTAAATCCGCAAGGCCGATACAGTCGACGAAGAAGCAGCGGAGAGAGATGGACGGTTTCTTAATTAAGAAACTTGACTCAGCCGTAGTTGGGGAGTCACGGAAGTATCGAGGCGGTGACGACGTGACGTTCTACGAGAATATAAATTCCTCCATTATCCAGTGATTAGTTCGCGAAGGGATGCACGCTGTTTCCGTGACGAGCAACCCTTCCGACATTATTCTTGGAATTATAGTTATTCCCGATAGTTGTTTACACGGTATCTACTGTTCTTCAAAAGCATTATTTACATTTATGCAGTGATATGGAAAGTAGACATCATATCAACAATTTTCTCATGATCAATATATCGACACAAATACACCTCAAATATCTTTTTCTAGTCAAAGTTGGTTTGTCCCAACCCGTTAACGTTTCGCTATTTATTCGATTCAAAGTAACGTACGCATTTTTATCTTTAGCGTAAAAGTTCTCTAATAATTGTATCTCTGTCTTTCTCACTTCGTCTTTCCTGCCTTTCTTTCTCAGTCGAGAACTTTTCGCTTAGAAAAAATCAGCTTTAAACGTGTTAGAACAACTACTTATAAAATCTTCTCATTGATTTTCCATAGAATAAGCGAATTAACTAATATATATTATATTTACAGGTATGTAACACTTATTTTCAGGCTAAATCCCTCTGAGAATCAAACTGCGGCACCGAAATCGAAAACTTGCGATGAGAAGATGGCGGGAGCCGAACTTCCTATTTGACGAATATGGTGGCTTGAAACTGTGTCGCTGCTGCCATCTCCGGATCGATCTGTTAAAAGAACTGATCTGTAGATAAATGATCTGTAGAAATGACCTGTAGGTAAATGTTATGTTATATATTCTGAAAGTACAATGAACATTGTACAGATGGAGTCTCGGAGTATATAACAAAGAGAAGCCTGAGAGCGGCCATACGTTTTGGCCGACACCGATTTTCACGCTGGTTCGCACCCATTTTTGAGGTGGCACTAAGTTCTGTACGCCCATTTTCAGAAGCTGCCAGTGAAGTATCGATTTGGTGCGTGTCCATTCTATGCCCATTTCCTGGTGATTCGTGTCCATGCTAAGCGCATAACTGTGTGGTTGAAAACATGGACTGTCCATGTTCTTAACATTAACACACATTGTAATCCAAGAGACGATGCAGAGCGAAATACGCACACTTCACGTCACATTTGAAAATACACCTTTACAAACGCGAAAATTACCTTAAAAAACTGTAAAAAATTAATCCAGAATGTGCTCTACCTTTACGAAAAAAAATATGAAAAAACCCTCAATTTTGGATGTTAACACTCAAATTTAAGTGTTTATTCTCAGTTTTTAGGTGTTTATACTCAAAATTGAGGGTTTTATTTTTTTCGTAAGGGTAGGGGATCGATTGTGTATCTCGAAATTTAATAAAAATTATAAAAGCAAGCAAATTCACTAGACACTGACCAATGAAGTTACAAATATTCTAGTAAATTTAAACACTTTGTCATTTTCATTCCGTTTTCAGATACATAATCGACCTCTAGATGCTAAAGCTGGACACACACTTTTCGTAATAGTAACCGTAATGGCTTCTGCACACAGGACGCGGTAATGTTTGCCGCGCGGCGGAAGTTCGTATGACAGCCAATCAATATGCTGCTTTCCGTAAAAACCTTCTAGCTCTTACGGAAAAACAACATATTGATTGGCTGTCGCGACTTTCGCCGAGCGGCAAGCATTAGGGCTATCGCACACAAATTGACATAACTGCATATGCATAGCATAAGATCGTATGGACCAATGAGCATCGAATATTAAGCATCGAACACCAATATGGCGACTTAATACTCGATGCTCATTGGTATATACGGTCTTATGCTATACATATGCAGTTATGTCAATTTGTGTGCGATAGCCCTTACCGCGTCCTGTGTGTAGGAGCCATAAGACGTAACGTAAGAATTGACCAATTGCGATCGAGTATTCATAAAAATGGCGACCTTACGATTCGACGATTCTCAACATGATTAGTCAATTCTTACGTCTTACAGTTACTGTTACAAAAAGTGTATATAGCCAGCTTAACACAATATGACCTAAATAACCTGCAGTAACATGACCGATTTTCAGCCCCTGCCGAGAATACATGCGCATGCGCGAGAATCCGAATATAATGCTACTACAGATCTAACAGTCGCGTGACTGCGTCTGTTCTATTGGATCTCTGTAACAGAAATTTAATTTAATAATTTAGTATCAATTAGTTACACGCGACAGCAAAACGAGGAAAAGAAATCGTCGTAATGGCACGCTTAAGTTGTTTCCTAATACGCAATAAAAATAATTAAATGACAACTGAATAAAAAAATAATAATATTCGAATAATAAATGGATGATGATAATATTTGATCGGCACTGAGGAACTCGATCGCGACGTTTCTCTATCTAATAAGTAAAAAAGTAAATGAAATGTGGTAATTACCTGTCGCGGTAAGCCCGCAACATCTGCTCGTGTGAAGAGTATGCTTAATTTGTCTTAATTATTGCCTCAATTGTCGCGAAGTCGAAACGCGGTATTAAAAATCGGCACGGAATAATTTAGAAAATAACGCGACAGCTCCCGATGTGTTCGTCTCGACGGTTGAGAGTGTATGGCGTGATTCGCGCGTCTCCTCAAGCGCCGTTTAGTCAGCGGCACGAGCGAGCCGTTACGACGGTTTGTTTACCTAGCCTTTGTGGAGCCTAGAGTTTTTGTTAGAGCCGTTATCCAGATATTGTTATTACCGATTATTCGATCATCTGATTATTACTTACTCGCGGATATTATCACACGATTGTCGAACAGATATTATTATCACTACCATTTAATATTCGAGTATTATTATCTCTTTATTTTATTATTATTTAATTTATTCGATTATTATTTAATTATTGCACATAGAAAAGCAACTCGGGTGTACCGTTACGACAATTTCTTTACCTCGTTTTTAATCAGTTATTATTGCCGTTGCCCAGTTATTGTTATTTATTGTTATTACCGATTATTCGATCATCGTATTTGATCATCGTATCATTTTGTACATTTTCCAATACACTATACAAGACATTGTTCTCCGTGATATAAGCCGCCGCCGTATTTGGTGATCACTTCCGACTTTCATTCCTCTCACCCCTGTGGCTTCACTCACCACGAAATACGTCTCGTCTAGATATTCCTACGTCCATGGAGCGACGTTGGGGGGGCGGGGGGCGCGCAGCCGGGTCATGTAAACTCGTGTGCGCGAGCACATGCACGAGCGTCACGTCATACACTCTCAATCGTCAAGCACATCGGGAACTTACGATGATCTAGTTTTGCGATAATATCGCCGCTAGCTCGCTTCGTGCCTACGTCGCGCGGTCAGCTCATTAGTGATGAGACAAGAATAGAGCGATTGGACGTGTTTTTTTCTAACTTACTATCATTGTACGGAAGTACAACGGGCACAAACCAGGCGCATTTTATCGTTACCACCGCGAAAATGCGCCTAACAAACGTAGTAAAGGCACACTTTATTAGATCTCGAAAATGCGTCTAGCTCTGACTATTGTAATCAGGCTGGTGGCCGCTCTCATACTTCTCTCTGCTGTAGGTAAATAATCTGTAGAAATGACCTGTAGGTAAATGTTGTTATACATTCTGGAAGTACAATGAATAGTGTACAGATGGCGTCTCAGAGTTCTTGCACGAGTATACAATAAATGATCTGTTCTTTTCAGCTGCACTGCTGAATTGGTGCAACAAGTTAGAGTGAGAAAACATATACTTGTCTCACTTTAACTTATTGCACCAGTAGTGCAGCTGAAAAGAAAGCTAGTGGCATATGGTGCTTGTTTTCATGCTGGATTGCTTGCTGATTGGTGCATTTCTGAAGATAGATGGAAATACACCAATCAAAACAGAGTATTTCCATCCAGCAAGCAATCCAGCACGAAAACAAGCACCGTATGCCGCTAGCTGAACAGACTGAAAGTTAAAAGCAGTTAAAAGTACACGTGCTTTGCCTGAAAGGTACACGAAAAAGAAATTGTCTACAATAGCACGAGATAATTAATTTTTGAAAAAAGCTACAGTGAAAAAAAATGCAGCACGACGATGTAAGATCAGTATAAAATTAAAGGTATTTCATAATGGTTTTAACGATAATCTCTTAATCTTAACCTAATCTTGCAGGTTGTATGGAGTGTTATTAATAAATCGTTCTGTTCCTTTAAAGTAAAGTAAGTGAATTTTTAAGAAACTCTAAATAATAGTTGGATTATTAAAGAACCTGGACTATTGTGAGTTTATTATTATAATCTTGTAATATTTATTCTACAGCACAAAGACGCAGAGATTTTGTAGGAATGAGTATAATCTTACAGGATTATGCAGCAGGGCAGCGTGCCCTCTTGCAAATAGTCAATATGCTACGATTAGAGAGGAGAATGGTATTATTTATCTCTATATGAAAACAGCCGAGAGGTAACTACAAAATCATTTTTGTTCTAATATATCTATGTAGGGAATATCTACATATTATATACAATATTTTTTTATCAGAATACATACACCCAAAAACATGTGGGAAAAAGTTAAGTTGTCCAGGAACTTTGAAAAAGCAATACAACAAATTAATGAAAATCTACTCTATTGGCCTGGTTTCATAAAAGCAAAATGTAAGCAGAGATTTGTCAAAATTACACAATATTTAATTCGCATGAGGAAACTTAGATTAAGACGGCAGAAGAAGATTGTGCCTCTTCAAAGAAAGATTGAGAGAAGAGAGAGACGTAGAGAAGAAAAGGCTTTAATAGCTGCCAGACTGGAAAATGCGATTGAAAAGCAACTTATGGAGAGATTAAAGCAAGGAATGGTAATATAATCATGATTTGTAAAATTGTAATATTTATAGTTATATTTTCTCTAAATCTAATTGTTTTGATGTATATTTCAGTATAATGATATTTATAACTTCCCACAAAGAGTATTTGACAAAGCTGTGGAAGCTGTTGAGGTTGACGATGAAAGTGAGGCAGAAAGCGAGCAGGAACAAGAACAAGAGAAGGAAATTGAAAAAGAGATAGAAATGGAATTGGAGGCGGATGAAGAGGGTGAGCAAAATGGCCCTCAGTATGTCGAAGCTGACAGTGATGATGATGACGATGACGATGATTATGGAGATAACGATGATTTCGATGCTGAAGAGGTCTCTATGGTAAGTAAAAAAAATGAATTATTTACCAAAGAATAACTCATTTACAAAAATCTTATTTAGGACGAAGATAGCGACTCTGGACAAAAGGATCTAGTTGAATTATCGGACAGTTTTGTGTCTGAAGCAAGCGATATCGAGGTAAGGATTCATTAGTTTGAGAGAAGATTGCTATTCAAAGTTCTGATATAAATCATCAATATTTAATTTTATAGGACGTACCATCTACGAGCAAGAAAGGAAAAATGCCGAAAGTCGTCAAGAAAAGAAAAGTGCAGAAGAAAAAGCAACCAAGGGTGGAAATCGAATATGAATTTGAACAAGAAAGTCAGCAAAGAGAACGAGTACCTCGAATACGTAGCAAATAAATATTGATTGTTTGTATGAAATCATTTGTGTATATACCCTATGATCAGAAAGTACCGGGAATTTTTTATTTAAACGTACCGCGCATGCTGGAACCGGTTTATTTTTTTTTCTTATGTTGGTACGACCTTAAGACGCACATCTGTCAGGTTTTAGTGCCATCCAATCATTAGTGTCTGCCTGGCGTTTGTTTACATCAGTCAACTTTTTTCAATTTGTCGCATTTTACCATGGATAATGTTGTTGAACAAAGAGTTTGTTTGAAATTTTGTGTTGCGAACGAAATTTCGTGTGCCGATGCACTGAAAATGTTGCAAAAAGCATTTTGCGAATCTGCTCTATCAAAAACAAGAGCATACGAGTGGTATAAAGACTTTAAAAGTGGTCGTATAGTGGTGGAAGATTTGCCTCGTTCCGGACGTCCATCGACGTCGAACACCGATGAAAACGTGAAGAAAGTGAAAGAAATGGTGCTTGAAAATCGTCATACCAGCTTAAGAGAGATGTCTAGTGAACTTGGCATTGCATATGGAACGGCACAGCATATTGTGGTTGATGTTTTGGGTATGAGACGCGTGGCAGCCAGGCTCGTTCC